CCCCCCCCCATAAAAAAAAAGATAAAATAAAAAAAATTGCTGTAAATGTAAACATTCTCAATAGACACAATCTTTGTAGATGTGTAGATTGATGTAGTAGCAGTTGACACACTAAGTAGTTAAAAAAAAATAATAAACTAAAGTACAACTAAAAGCTTCTGAATGACAGTCCATACAAGTACCAAATCTGGTTAACGTGTGATCACATGCATCAAAAAGTGGAACCAAAATGTAATTAACCTTCCTTGACCGAGCCAAATCCTTCATTTGTGTCCCACACGCTCCCCCTCCCAGCCACTGCTGCTCACAGTGGGAGGCTTTCAGCAACACAGGCAGTGCTGCCAATCCAGAAAGCAGTGGGCAAGACTAGGTGTGGCCAGGTGTTGATTGATGAGCTTCAGCCTGAGGCCTTGTTCACACCAAGCGCGTTCCAGGAGCAGAGCAGTTACAGACCGGAGCAAAACTGCGTCCAATGTATTCCAATGGTATTTTTAGCTCCAGTTCACATCGCAGCGTTCCAGAGGAGGTAAAAAAACTGCAGCAGGCCCTATTTTACCTGCTCTGGAATGCATGCAAACGCATCAAAAACGCAAATGCCCTGGAACGCACTGAAAGCCCATTTTAAACTTTAATTAATTTGTTATTTCTTTTTTTACCAAAACGGCCCGAAACGCATCAAAAAACACTGCAAACCCCACTGCACTGCGTGTGCAGAAACTCATGCAGATCTGCTCTGCATTTGGTGTGAACAAGGCCTTATGAATCAGCAGTGACAGGGGTGTAACTAGAAATCACAGGGCCCCATAGCAAAATTTTGTATGGTGCCCTGTGATGTCTAGTTATGCCACTTGCAGAGCCCACCTGATAGACCAAACAGCCCACCTGAGAGTGACCCTGCATAGCCCAACATAGACTCTCTATGGCGTGCTCTGCAGGGTCTCAGGTGGGCTGCACACCTCTTACCTGTAAGGGCGGTCCGCCTCTGTGGTCGCTGGGCCCTGCCTCCTCTTCCGTCCCCGGGCCCCGCCTCCTCTTACATCACTGGCCCCTCCTGCTCTTAGGTCGCCGGGCCGGGCCCCGCCTCCTCCTTCACTGCAAACGCCGGGTCCAGTCTCTTTTGCAGCAGCTGCTGGCTGTCACTGACACAGCTCAGGGGCAGATGTGAGGAAGAACGCACCACTGCACACATAACTGACAGGTTGTCAGTGATCTAACAGCGGCGCGTTCCTCTTGACAGCCAGCACCCTGATATGCCATAGCGGCCCGCACGGCATCAGAGGGATGCCCTGGCCGGGCCCCCCTGTGCCCGGGCCCCATAGCGGCCGCCTGGGTCGCTATGGCGATTGTTACGCCACTGAGCAGTGACAATGTCAATTGCCAACCACCCTGTAACATCTCATTCCACTGTAGTGCATCCAGACACAGCCTACATGAGAGTGGCAAGTCTGCTCTGAATTCAAAAGCAGTGCAGCTTTGTTGCCCCCCTATCACAAGATGCTGCATTAGGTGGACTTCACTGGCGAGACCAACAGGTATTTGTGGGACTTTGCAGGGGAACTAAGAGAAAGCTGTGAATGTGGATAAACTTATAATCAAGTGCCGCAGCAGGTATTGTTTTAATGGGAGGCAAGTGTTCTATATTTTGCAAGCATGCGAGTTAGAGAAAGTAAACTGAGTGGAGGTGTACTTATCATTCAAAAACACATTCCTAAGCAGTAAATCTTGTCTAGAATGTAGACAGACCTGAAAGTAGAGTTTAATATTTAATGTAACAAGAGATAAGAGTGAAAGTGCTGTTTATAGATCACTGACTAACTATCAGCACCAACAGTGTCAAAAAATATCATTGTAACTTTCCATGACATGTAAACAAGTTAATCTGCGCTTCTGGAGGGGGGTGATAATAAAGGAATAAATGAATTAAAATTAAATATGTGAATAAATTGTGAAAGAATAATTAAAACCCGAAGCTGCTCTGAAGAGGGATGAATCCTAATATGATCGAAAAAAGCAAAGCGCTAGGGGAAAAAATGTGCAAAGGAGCGAAGGGTAGGTGTTCGGGCAAAAACCGATTTGTAAATCTGTTAGGTGTATAGCTGTGTAAAAACCAAACTAGAACACTATAAATAAATAGAGAGGCTCCAACTGTATAAGTTATACAATTAAAATCAAAAAGTCAAGTCCAATAGATTATATAGTTAATAAGTGCTAATAAACATCAAAAAACGTGTCCAAATAGGTAAAATAATCCGGTGAACGGTGAACTCCGTGTGAAAGAATGCAAATATACAAAGATAGCAAAGTGCTTGAAGATGATCCGAACAGCCCAAAGGGAAGTTGAAAGAAAGCTCGTAGCTCGTAGCTTCATCGCAATATAACCCTTATCATGTTATTATTAGATTGGATTAGTTTTATTAAGATATTTAATCATGTTTTCTGATATTAACTGCTATTTTAAGGGATATTTGAAACGATCTGCTAAGTCTATATTTTAATTGTTCAGTGATGTGTCTGTTTTTACGTTTTCGTTACGCTGCCGCCCAATTGGTTTACTTGGAATTGGGACCAATTAGCGGAGTGTATTTATATGATTCACCTCCTGTCTCTTGCATCCACTCCCCTTCTGAGGAAGTCACATGACGAAACGCGTCGAGGAGAGTAGATGCTGAGTTTACAGACACGAGGTTTTATGCTGGTTTTTGTGCTGATTTTAGCTGGCCGAAAATTCTTTTTGCCTTTTTGCCTTGTAAGCCTATTTCTTGAATAAAAAAACTTTTTAAGGCTTTATATATTACGCTATGAAGGTTCTCTCTTTTGTTCATCTTTAAAAATCTGCGGGACATACGGCAAAGCACTTTGGTAACACTCCATCCGAAAGGATTGGACTCCTCATCCCTGAGATGCAGCCAGCGGCATAGAGGGGAAAATCAAGTGTTTCGGCAGCCGGGACTCGCAGAGAAGTCTTCTATGCTCAAGTCTAACCACGCCACCACTCGCTACGAGCTTTCTTTCAACTTCCCTTTGGTGAGTACCCACCCGAGAGGGGCTGTTCGGATCATCTTCAAGCACTTTGCTATCTTTGTATATTTGCATTCTTTCACACGGAGTTCACCGTTCACCGGATTATTTTACCTATTTGGACACGTTTTTTGATTTTTTGATGTTTATTAGCACTTATTAACTATATAATCTATTGGACTTGACTTTTTGATTTTAATTGTATAACTTATACGGTTGGAGCCTCTCTATTTATTTATAGTGTTCTAGTTTGGTTTTTACACAGCTATACACCTAAC